AAAAAAAAGGAGAAAGCTTTGAGATCCACTTACTCAGACTCCGAATGGGTAAACGCTCGAACAAGGGCAAACCGCATTGTTTTGGCAGGGTATCGATAACCCATCGTATAGCAAAATTCTAACAGGCTACGAAGAGGACGACTCTGTAGGCTACATTGCACACTGTCAGCCTCGTTGTAGAAGTTGCTGATGACCTAGAAGCTATGTCGCAACGTGTGAAAAGACATTTGAGCAAATGAAAGACGATAAAGCATCATTTTTCAGCAAAAAATTAAATAAAAAACTAGACATAAAAGGATAAATTTTTTCGGATACGAACACCTCTCACCTTATTATATATCTCAGTTGGTTTTACTTCCAATCCAGCCGCCTCCGTTTTTCGAACGCATCTGAACAACAAATCCTGCTTAAAACATCTAAACCTGCTCAAGAACAATTAATGAAATGCCACTTACGCAATGAACATGGGTTTCAAAACGTTGTTATAGAGCAGCTTTGACTGGGTTTCGAGTACAGTTTCTGGTGTTACGCTAGGTGGATAAATCGACTTATTGAACTCCGTAATCGCAAAGAGCTAAATATACGAAAAATTGTTACGATTCAGCAATTTTTGATATATGATACCTTCCGCCTTTCCATTTCAAACGTCGACTCATCAATCCACGGTTCACAATACATCTTCAGCGCTACAGCTAGATTCTCAGGGTCAGATAATGCCTAAAACAAACAACGCATAATCTCGGATAGAAGAAGGATGTAGTGCTTTAGATGTATAAGCAATGAAAATAGCGAATTATAATGAAACTCTGAGTGAAAACTTTGCATGAGGGGGTCATTTCGAATTTCGGTGAAAAAAACTCGAGCTTCGTATAAGAAAAAGCCATCTTAAGGCTAGGCAAGAATGAAAATGAACTAAGTTACCAAATAAACATAACTACAAGAAGAAACTATAATGAAACTGCAACTCTCACTGAATCCCAATATAAGGAATGGGAGCTTGGAGAAGGGATTGCTATGAAAACTTACAGTCTCCGTTGGTGTCGCACTCAGCATTTCATTGTCGCTAATGGGAGGCGGAGCTGGCGAGAACCCGCTACCACGATCTTCACATGGCACTTCGTATACATCGGCGTTTCCTCGTTCATCTTCATTTTGAGTGCAACGATAGTGTTCAATCCTATTTTCAAGTTCCTCGTTCTCCGCAAATACTAGCTGACGAACATCGTCGGTCAAAAAGGTGGAAGCTGTGCAGTCATCTAAAGAGGCTCAAATATTTGGGGAATATTTGAATATGTCAGATACACCACTGACTCACCAGCAAATAGCCACGGTTCGGCGGCAGAGCTAACATAAAGAAGGAAGTAAGCAGATGTTGTTCGAGTTCCGCCTACCGCCTCCGCTTCGATATCGCTCCAAGCTGCATTTTCCACTCTTTGGTCATTGAACTTTTCCCAATGATCATCATCAATTCCTGAACACAAAACATGATCCTCATACACTTAGGAGAACAGAGATAACCTACCCTTTCTTACATACGCCCAATAATGTCCAGCATTTGCATGGCCCTGATGAATTGCTACAGCATGAAGTTGATATCCGTGACGCTTCAAATTTTCACATTCATAGATTTCATCAATTTTCTTAAGCAATTCACATTCTTGCATCAACAACTCTAAAGAGAACAAAACTCATGGTAATCACATTAGGATAAGTTAACTTTTAGAAAACTGACCTTTCTGCTCCGTTCTGAGCTCGTTGATGGAATTCTCCAATTCAGGAATGAAGCCGTATAACTGGGCCAAATTCGTAGCAGTAGGTACTACTGCAATATAAGAAAGATCTAATGTATTTGATGATTAGATGGTGAA